ACGTGAAGCCTTACCGGCGTAGCAAAGGTGAATTATTTTTAATAATCGTCTATGTAAACATTTTATTATTGGGTTAGGTGATGGTGATTGTGTTGGGTGATGGTTGTACCCAATGTGCAGCAGTACCGGGACCAGAGTGAATAGGGTGTGTATGGGGAGCATGAGTGGGTGTCCGGCATGCACTTTTGTAAGTCTTTGGTTGTATATTTCAGATTTCAGATTTATTGGCCAAGTAAAATTACATTTACAAGGAATTTGGCTTCGGTAGATGTTCGCTCTCTTAAAACATACAACAACCACAATAAATGAGAAAAAAAATACCTAAAAACACATAAGAACATGTATACCCACACACATGTTCATTTACACACATATATACATATATACATACACACACACACACACACACACGCACGCACGCACACACATACACACACACACACATCCATAAGCATACTAAATAAGCATTAAAACCTATAATAAATGGATGGTAAAAGAATCTACAGATTCAGGAGAGAAATGGCTGAAGGAAAGAAACTGCTCTTGTGTCTGGTAGTTTTTGTGTACAGTGATCCATAGTGTCTGCCAGATGGGAGGAGATGGAAGAGAGTAGATGCAGGCAGTGCTGGACTGACCATAGGGCATAGCGGGCAACTGCCCGCTGGGCCGACCCTTTCATCTTTTATGGGCCGGTGTCTGTTTTTTTTTTTTTTTTTTTTTTTCCTGGCCTCTAGTTGTTGCGGACAACTTGCCCGCGCCGCCCCACGCGACGCCTCGTAAAAGTTGGTGGATTGGCCAATTGGTAATAATACACTCTGGGCTGGACCAATAGCCAGAGGTCTGATGCACCCGCCAGTTGTTTGTGAATCTCAGTAAACAGACAGACGAGCTTTACAAAATGGAGAACAAAAAACGGAAAGCAGGAGCGGAGAAAATTCGACTAAAAAAGAAACTGGCCCTTCAGGCTGATGCTGGCACATGTGTTAAAATCTCACAGTTGTTTGGTAGTGAAGGTTCAAGTAAGATCAATTTAGGAAGTGATGGAGCCTCAGCCCAGCGACAGGTTGGAGAAGAAAAGAGGGAGGAGGAGGAGAAACCCGAGCCGGTGTTGTGCCATAAATTGGATCGCTGCCAAAAAATGATTAGCCACCGCGGGATCGCGCACGGTTAGGTAATTGCATTTCTAGACAAAATTCCCCAGGATTTCGCCCTAAAACTCAGCATATCTAGCAATATTGACATTCAGAAAGCAAAGATAACCTCTTCCGGTACTTAAACAGATGTTTATCGCGGATATTAGTGTGGCAGTGTTTGTGGCAGCCTGCGCGGGAGCACGAGGACGTGCTTGTGGAAAGAGGCAGGAAGAGGTGGCAGTGTGAGCATCCACAATGTCCCGAATGATCATGCGCCCTGGCTACTTGACCAAGTAGATGTCCCTTTGGCTGACTGGTTAGAGCGTGTGACTTTCACCCGGGAGTCTCGGGATCGAATCCCGCCCGGGCACTCGTTTCTGCACCTTGCCACTTTAGTTTTTCCAGTTCGGAAGTTGTTTTAAGTGTTGCTATTTGTCTTAAAGGTTCACAATGAGGATATATTAATCCTTTTTGCAATATTTGCGATTGAAAGATGGTTTGTGCCACAAACTTTGTGGTAAGAACTGGCTTTCTTTATGTTACAGCCTTGATACTAAAAAAAATAAATAAACAATGTAAAATGGCACCCTGTATTGAATGTAAACGTTGTATAAATGGAATTAAACAATTCTCCAGCGATTTAATTTTTTCCCCTTCCTTTCTTTAGTCTACTTGACATGGAGCCACAGTTAACTAGTTTGGGGCACATTTTTTACTAGAAAAATAGTATTTAAACTGATCAAGCTTTGGCTTTAATGACACTGTGTAGGTTACTATCTATACATTACTTTGCTCTATTTAAAAGTAACAAGATAAAAGCACTTCAGCACATAAAATTAAGATTGTCACTTGTCAAATAGACTACACCCTCCCGTTTACCTATAAGAAACGCCTCAAAATATCTTTAACTTCTTTATTGATGATTTAATTGTAGACAACTAAAATGGCATTTTACTTGCCAAAAAGTGATTGATTCGCTAAGATTTTCATGGAGGCTAAAATTGACCAAATAAGGGTTTTATGTATTATCTGTTGATGTTACTGTACTCATACTGTCTACTGTGTCATCAAAAACACCCCAAAAATGGCACAAAAAAAAAGAAAAAAAAAGAAAAGAAGATAATTTCCCTTGCCAAAAATTGATTACAGTGTCCTGGTCACCTGTAAAGGGTTACATTTACCTAAATATTACTTTATTTATTATCTCTTGATGTTATTAGTGCCATCACAGGATGCCGGTGTCTTTCACATTCATAAACACCTCAAAAATGGCAACAAATGATCATTTCCCTTGCCAAAAATTGATTACAGTGTCCTGGTCACGTGTAAAGGGTTAAATTGACCTAAATATTACCTTATTTATTATCTCTTGATGTTATTAGTGCCATCACAGGATGCTGGGTGTCTTCCACATTCATAAACACAGAGTCCTGGTCACCCATAAAGGCTTAAATTGGCATAAATATTACTTTATTTATTATGATGCTGGGTGTGTTCCACAATCATATTCAAATAAACGTGAAAATATTCTGTCCGAATATCTGTTTCTTGTTATAAATATAACAGCTAGAAGGATTTACAGTTAAAATAGGAGAAACACGTGACTCCCCAGGAAGGGTCGTAACACCACTTGCCTCATGCACATAAGTGAACAAAACAAAGCAGCATGGAGACACTCCGTCTCCAACCACCTCTCAGGCAGCAGCCTGCACTCCCAAGTTCTACACGTCACCAGAACATAACCAACCGCAACACAATAAAAGCAGTGTTATACAAAATGGAAGGCCTGTAGTGTTTATTCTCTTACAGTAACAACTTATCAAATTTTTGGAGGAATTTATTTGAGAATTTTTTGGTTTTTATTAATTGTGCAATAGAAAAGTAATCGCTAGATTAATCATCTAAATAGTCATTAGAATAGTCGACTATTCGATAAAATAATCGTCAGAATAATCATTTTAAAAATAATCAGTTACCCCCAACCCTACTTTTTAGAATACCAGGATAGGAAGGATGGTGTAGGTTTACGTTTATTAGATTGATACATAAATACTACCAATAAGAAAGTGTACGTTGGTGTGTGTCAGAAACAGCGTAAGGCTTAATGTCTTTTCCAAAAAAAACAGGTGATGGGCCGGTCTCCAGTCAAAATGCCCGGGCTGAATTTTTGTCCCAGTCCAGCCCTGGATGCAGGATGTGTGGCATCTTGGACAATATTCACTGCCTTTTTCCTGGTCCTGCTGATGTACAGTTCCTGGACAGAGGGCAGTTGGGCACCAATGATTTTTCCTGCTGTTTTAATAATAATAGCTGTTTTTTGAAAAAAATAATAACGCTGTAGTCTGCATTTTTCCATTTTTGTGGCTGACCCAAACCAGACAGTGATGGATGAGCAAAGTATGGATTCGACTGCAGCAGTATAGAAGATGATCAGCAGCTCTTGTGGTAGGCCATACTTCCTTACTTGCCGTAAGAAATACATCCTCTGCTGAGCCTTTTTGACGATAGAGTTGATGTTTGTTTCCCACTTCAGATCCCTGGAAATGATAGTGAATAAAATGAAAATATATGCATGCATATATATGTGCATGAGGGAGGGAGTGTGTGACTGTGTTTGTGTAAGACTGTATATGTCAGGTGGGACCTTTGACTCCTCCCCTCTCCTGGGACTTCTTTTTATGATATAGATCTTCGTCTCCCCTCCCCCTGCCACACCTGGTGTGGGGGTGTGGTGCCTTGGTCTGCCTGAGTGTTCGTGGCTCCCGGGACAGGGGGGTTTAAGATCTTTGGCGCCTGCCTGGTCGATCCCGGTGGCTGCCTGGTGGGGTCTGGGTCCCTGGGCTCTGCTGGGTACCCTGGCGGGGGTGGTCGCCCCTGGGTCCCGGGTCACTGGGTCCCGGGCTTGGCCGGCTAGGGGGTGGAAGGCTGTGGGCGGGCCTGTGGGCTTGCCGCAGATATCTCCAGGGACTCTGCCAGCTGCTGGTTGTGGCCCCCCGGGGCGATCCTCTGTGCCTCTCGAGGGGGGCGGGGGCCTTTCTGGTTGCAGTCTCCTTGGGGTTCCTGTGTTCTGGGGCAGCACCTGGATCTCTGGGACTTGGAGCTCCCCCCGTCTCCATGTGTAGCCAGCCACAGCATCTCAACTACCTGTGCAGCCAGCCACAGCAGCTTAACTACCTGTGCAGCCAGCCACAGCATCTCAAATACCTGTGCAGCCAGCCACAGCAGCTTAACTACCTGTGCAGTTGATAAAAGCTAGCTCAAGGTCAGGAGAAATTATTACATGTGAAATCTGTTATCTGGCCTTGAAGAAAAAGAATCTTCGACTTCATTTGAGAAGGAAACACCAGGACAATATAGATCAGATTTCACACAATCGTTATCTAAGGAGTCAGTGTGTTGATACCAAAAAAGGTATTTTTGCTGTTCAGAAGTCTTTTTATGGTGCATCCAATCCTATACACGTAATGAAAAACACCTGGTCACAGTTTCAGAGATCAGAATGTAAACTTGACAGATGTAAGTTGAATGCTCAGTTTGCCCAGCGGAGTGGGATTCTGCCTTTTGAGTGCGAACATGTCAAGTCTCTAAACTTCAGTCCCCGTGCCACTGACTCTGAAGGATATCTTTCAGAATCTACACTTGATGTACTGGTTGGAAACCTTTGGTTCAGTCTGGAGCCAAAGAAAGAACTTGTAAAAAAAACAGCAGGAAGCATTTGCAATTAGCACACCTTTGTCAGTTCTTTTAAGTTTCAGTGGAACAGAAACTACATTTCATGTTTCCGTCTTTGAACCAAAAACAGCATATTTTAGTAGACTAGGAAGGGTGGTTGTTACCATGACAACGACAAAAACACCTGGCATTGTCCTTGCACAGAAGGAAAGAAGTCCTGCATACACAAGGCTACAGCAAAGTGGCATCTGTTTGAAAAACTGCCAGACATGTTTAAAACAGCCCAAAGTCCAGAGAAGGATGTTATTTGTGGAAAAGCTGTTCCAAAATGCCAAGAGGAGACTGCATCAATCTCAGATCCAGCAGCTGAAAGGATGATCAAGTATTTGATTGCTCACAAGAAAATGCCTTCCGATCTTCCGAAAACACTGATCACCAGCAGCAGAGACGCCAAGACTCTCATGGATTCCCCACACATCTCATTCCATCTGAGACTGCATGCACACAATGTGGACAGAACACTCTTCTTGGTCCTCAGCTGATAACTGCAACTGCTACAATAGTGACTCATGATGGTGCAGTTAAAGGTTTGCAATTTTCAATGCTTTGATTTGAAATATAGTAGTTTCCATCATTCCAGCTCTAGGATGTACTTGTAACATGTATTTTTTATCCTTTTAGGTACATCGACATACAGGAAAGTTTGCCCCAACTGTGACATGGTGTAGCTATCAAGACTGGCAAGACGGCGTCCACAACTGTGATGATCATTTGCTACTGTCAAAACATTTTTGCCTTGTGTTGAGGAGTGCACTGCAGGTTAGTTCATGCTTGTACTTATTAGTTGTGTAAAAAGTAAAGTTCATATTTATTAAATTTAAATGAAATGTTGACACATTTGTCCAAAAATAACTAAAATATTCTAATTGTGTTCTCATATTTCTGCAGACTTATACTGCTGTCAGCCGTGTCTTTGAAATCTTTGAACACACAGAAGGGGAGAGCTTTCCTAACAAGGATCGGATTCTACATGCATATCTATTATTTGAGGGTCGAAGTGATCATGACTACCTGTATGCATGTGTTTCATGTGGGTACCATCCACACAGTAAAAAATCCTGTGTCAATTTAACTCTGAGTTGAATTTAACTCCGTGTCAGATAACATTTGGTCCCACTCGAAAATAGAGTAAAATTAACTCTTTTATCAGTGTTACATTTTCAGTGTTAATTTCACTCAAATTTGTGTTAAAATTAACACTGCAATGCGTTAAAATAATTAACACTGTGGTTTATGAACACTTTTCAGAGTAAAATATTACACTTTGAAGAGTTAATTTAACTCCAAAATTAGATATAAAAAATAGTCCAGTGTAAAATTTAATTTCTCTATTGTGTTAATTTTTATTTCTCCAGTGTTGTTTTAAATATCTAGTTCATGTAGATCTATCAAATAAAAATATCTCAGAGAAAAGGTAACTGTGACAGCATTTATTCACAATGCAAAGATACTTTACATTCTCAAATGTATAAACAGTTGTAATAGTTGCATAAAAAGTTGGACATTGAAACCTACTGTCCATAATCACATTACTATTTGTAATCAAACATTTTTGAATAATGCAATCACCACAGAAAACAATATGGAACAACAAAGAGAAGTGAGTCATTCACTCCATATGACATTTGTATGTCAAAAGGTCTTTGATACAGCAGGTGGTCAGCATGAAACAAAACCAAATCTTGTGTTGTCCTGGCCACTTCATATGCATGGACATGTTCCTGAAAGCTAACTGTGCATAAAGGCACAGTTAGCAGAAACAGTTTCTCATGTATTATCAGAACAGACTCAATCTGATAAAATATTGGCATCTCAAAATCAACTTTGCCACAAATAACCAGATGAGGGCGGTAAATAAAACCATTGTGTTTTGCCCAGTTCACTTTCATAACTTGAATACCATTTGGCACTTGCATTGACATGGCAATAACAGAGCCTCCTTTTATCATTTTCAAAGACACCATTTTCCCTGGACCAATGTCTAAACGATTAAAAGTAGAAGAAGATTGCCAAATGTATGCCATATGTCTCTGGTGTTTTTTGGCTAGAGTTTTGGTGATATTTTTAAATGATTTAAGCTGTTTTTTTTTTTGAAAAAATTGTGCTTACCTTCATAGCGCATGCACCAAGAATGGAGTACAGGTCCGATTTTCTGAATACAACATGGATAATGGATAATGGTGCTTTGGTAAAAGTTTCTTGTGTGGATACAAATTCTTGAACAGTTTGTGGTGATCCACAATCAAATGTTTCAAATATACACAAAGTCCTTGTGACAACTTAGGAGACAATACAATGTTGACTATTTGAAGTATTAAAAGAAGTAGATCCCAATGTCGATCAGTGGAGGTTATCAAATCTCCAAAAATGAGACGAACATTCCTTAGCAAGCACCACGACTGAATTGCATTCAGTCCCAAATCATTAGACTCCTCACTTAAATTCACTGCAACTGGCCTATTGTTTCTTTCCATGAATCCATAATCAAAATTCAGTATTCTCAAATTCAGCTCTCTCAGTGTGATATACTGTCCTTTAAAATGCTGAAACAAAAGCTTTAGTTCGTACTGGGCCACCCCTTCTAAAATGTCATGCATCACATCAACTGCAAAGTTCTCAGATGTATGAAAATAAGTCAGTGATTTAGTGTGCATGAACTCTTTACACCAAAAACATAAGGAAGAGAGGGATTACCAGCCATCTCTTGACAGTGGGCAGTGTGGGTGTTTTTGGTGCGCAATATTATTTTTGGAGAATCTTCAGAAAATTTTGTTTGAAAGTCATCTTTTTCAGCTAAACAAAACCTGCAACAGTACCTTGCACTAAAAGACTCTACCAAACCAAACAAGCTATGCAAGGCTAAATTATCACCAGTAACCTGTACCAAACTGCCACGAACACAACCATCATACAGTGGAATAACAATGCCATCGCTTTCCAACACTTTAATGTCTCGAACAACGGGAGCAAGGATTTCATTAAAACCATATCGTTTAAGATCTTGTGCATGAAACAAAGCACAGAGGTGTATGTTGGCCAAGACGGAATTCCATTTTGGAGAAAAATTTCTTACAGTAAAATATATTGCACCCATTTTGTGAACACCTCGCTTGGAACCAAGAGGATTTGCAACCTCAAAATCGTCATAAAACATTTGGATCTGTACTGTATGTTTTTCAGTTGAAAACAGAGGATGAGTTTTGGAAAAAGAACCATCACAAATATCTCTTAGTTTTGAGTCATTAGTGTCTAAGCTTATCAACATTTCTGCAGTATACTGACTATTGAATACTGATTGCAGTGTAGATAAAACTGGAATGTACATGAATTTATCTTTAACTACTATCTGATCATATGTTCCAGTGCTTTTATTTCGCCTTGTGTCAAATCTGGAGCCAATTACGTATTCAAGTGGTTCTACAATTTCCCTTTTTTCTGATAAAAATTTTGATCGCTTGTATTCTGAATTAAGAATTGAAAAAGGATTATCTAAGTTGTCAAAACAAGCTTCAACTTCGTCTTCGTCTTCGTCTTCCTCCGCTTATCCGGGTCCGGGTCGCGGGGGCAGCATCCCAATTAGGGAGCTCCAGGCCGTCCTCTCCCCGGCCTTGTCCACCAGCTCCTCCGGCAGGACCCCAAGGCGTTCCCGGACCAGATTGGAGATGTAACCTCTCCAACGTGTCCTGGGTCGACCCGGGGGCCTTCTGCCGGCAGGACATGCCCGAAACACCTCCCCGGGGAGGCGTCCAGGAGGCATCCTGACCAGATGCCCAAACCACCTCAACTGGCTCCTTTCAATCCGGAGGAGCAGCGGTTCTACTCCGAGTCCCTCCCAAATGTCCGAGCTCCTCACCCTATCTCTAAGGCTGAGCCCGGCCACCCTACGGAGGAAACTCATTTCGGCCGCTTGTATCCGCGATCTCGTTCTTTCGGTCATTACCCAAAGCTCATGACCATAGGTGAGGATTGGGATGTAGATCAACCGGTAAATCGAGAGCCTGGCTTTCTGGCTCAGCTCCCTCTTCCCCACGACAGATCGGCTCAGCGTCCGCATGACTGCAGACGCCGAACCAATCCGCCTGTCGATCTCCCGATCCCTCCTACCCTCACTCGTGAACAAGACCCCGAGATACTTAAACTCCTCCACTTGAGGTAGGACCTCTCCCCCGACCCGGAGGTGGCAAGCCACCCTTTTCCGGTCGAGAACCATGGTCTCAGATTTGGAGGTGCTGATCCTCATCCCAGCCACTTCACATTCGGCCGCGAACCTACCCAGCAAGAGCTGAAGGTCAGAGCTGGATGAAGCTAGGAGGACCACATCATCCGCAAAAAGCAGAGACGAGATTCTCCTGCCACCAAACTCGACACACTCCACACCACGGCTGCGTCTAGAAATTCTGTCCATAAAAGTGATGAACAGAACCGGTGACAAAGGGCAGCCCTGGCGGAGTCCAACCCTCACTGGGAACAGGTCCGACTTACTACCGGCTATGCGGACCAAACTCACGCTCCTCTGGTAAAGGGACTGAATGGCCCTTAACAGAAAGCCACCCACCCCATACTCCTGGAGCGTCCCCCACAGGGTGCCCCTGGGGACACGGTCATAAGCCTTCTCCAAATCCACAAAGCACATGTGGATTGGTTGGGCAAACTCCCATGCCCCCTCCATCACCCTTGCAAGGGTATAGAGCTGGTCCACAGTTCCACGGCCAGGACGAAAACCACATTGCTCCTCCTCTATCTGAGATTCAACTATCGATCGGACCCTCCTCTCCAGTACCTTGGCGTAGACCTTTCCAGGGAGGCTGAGGAGTGTGATCCCCCTATAGTTGGAACACACCCTCAGGTCACCCTTCTTAAAGATGGGGACCACCACCCCGGTCTGCCACTCCCTAGGAACTGCCCCCGATGACCACGCAATGTTGTAGAGACGTGTCAACCATGACAGCCCTACAACATCCATAGCCTTGAGATACCCAGGACGAACCTCATCCGCCCCCGGGGCTCCGCCGCTGTGTAGTTGTTTGACTACCTCAGCAACTTCTGCCACCGAGATCGGACAGTCCATCCCCAGGCCTCCCAGCTCTGGTTCCTCCTCGGAATGCGCATTGGTCGGAATGAGGAGCTCCTCAAAGTATTCCTTCCACCGTCCGACAAGCTTCAACTTTTTTGCAAACTTCTGTTTCTCTTTCATCATTAAATACATGTCTAATGACAGTTTCTTTTGCATGCTGCTGTACATCTTTAACTATCTCTTCCATGGACCCAACAACAGAGTTCACAATGCTTTGGCCTAAACCTGCAGCCTGTAGATCAGAAATTACACTTGCACAACTATTTACAAGGTTAGCTGAAGATAAACCTGACTCGGTCTCTAAACATTTAGATGATACTTGAAAATCAGTGGAATTACTTGTGTTAGGAACACTTTGACAAGATGAATTATTGAGTTCTTCAACTGAATGAAATGAATTGTCAACATGACACTTGTTTAGATGCTTTCTAAAACCAGAAAAACTACCAAAAGAACGTGAGCATCCCATTTGGCCACATTTAAGATAAAGAGTCCTGCCAGTGCAGAGACGATGGATAACTTTAAGGTGCTTAATAAGGCTGTTTGGTGTACCACGGTCCCTTTTGCAAAGAAAACACTTCATTGTTATGGCTCACCCGATTCTAGCGCAGCAGCAGCATTCTTGCTCGCAACTCTGCAACTCTGGGAGTTTGTTTTGTTTCTGCTACATCGATGGTGTAAATGGTTGTTTGGAGAAAAGTGAAAAAGTTGGTCAGGGCATGACTGTATGACGTACCGAATACATAATGAGCTTTAAAGAGTTCATCAAGAGCTCCCACTGAACCAGTTGCCTTGCATGGAAGTGCATGCTTGCTGATCACAATGAAGAAGGTGTGGATCCTGCTTCTTGTAGTTCCCTGAGCAAGAAGGTAGGACTGGCAGCTTTGGCTAATATGGTTTAGATGCTGTTGTACACTGGTTCCAGCCTAAGACAGAAATGAGAATATAGTGAAAAAGTTGATGTATTTCAACAATAAGACTCATTCCATACAAAGCCAGATATTTCAGCCTTTGTTATAATTATAATACTTATGGCTTACAGATAATGAAAACCCTGCATTCAAAAATTCAGACAATTAGAATATTGCATTAAAAAAATCCAACACTGCTTTTAAATAGAAAATTGTCAGACATAAGTACTTTGCAATTGGTTTTGCTTTTACTAAAATAAATTATTGTGCAACATTCTAATTTTTGGAGTTTCACATGTTTTTAGAAATTATATTGAAATGAAACTAAAATCCATAATAGTCGTTCTCAGCAGCTGTTCAACATCCTTTTGGAAGTTATTCTTTTTGCTAAAATGGAAAGTTTTCTCCACACATTTACCCAATTTTTTCTTTAGGTTACGTGATAAATTAAATCAGGACAACTCATTTCATTTGGAGATACACGTGACACTTAGGAGAGCTGCTGTTACATCTTTGAGGGAATTAGGTTTAAATATCAGTTTTGAATAAATTGTAGTGACCCCGAGCGTCTCAGCGGCAGTCCCCAACTCAACCAGCAAGAGGCAGTAGTGGTTCAGACCAGACCTTTATTAGGTTTCTTCTTCAACCCTTTGTAACACTACAGACACCGAACTTCTATCACGCTCCTACCACACAGAGTCACGGTGTCAGTTAACCATGCTAATTCAACCCGCTCCACAGAACACACATCACCTTCCCTGTGGCTTACATTAACATACCGTAAATCCTCTAATACAGGCCCAGGCCTGTATTTGACTCAAGCTCATCAAGCTCCAGGCCTTTATTGGAAGGAGGGCCAGTATTAGAGACAGGCCTCTATTTCTATTTGAGCAAAATGAACTAATGGTTCGCTGGAGTTTTTGACAATTAAAATTGCGCCCACATTTTCAAAGTTAAACACATTTCTTTTAACAAAGGTAGTTTATGCTTCAGCCATCTCCCCCCTCCCCCTGCGCAGCGGCAGCAAACTCACTGATGCGCCTGCAGCCTCTCAGTGTTCCTGCTGCTCTAAACATTAAAATAATTATTTCGTTTTCTGTTCCTCACTTCTGATTACCTTCAATGGTGTCTGTTTGTGTTGCAACCACCAGGTACAAAAACTAACTTGTTTTTATTTGACTATTTTTCTGTCCTGCCTGTTTATTATCTTCCTGCATCTCCTCTCAATCCTAAAGAGAAACTGCTACCTGGGTTCATATATATTCACCTCATGAGTTACCTTTGAACTGCAGTTCTAAAAGATCTACCGACCGCAAAAACAGCGGAGTGCTCGCCGCCGGCCACATCAGTGATCAGTGCGTCACCGGAGGACAAGGTGATGCGCCCCGCTCCACAGCGAAACGCATCAGGCGCAAATAAAAGACAGAAAACATCAAAGGAAATGAACCGACATGAAGGATCGCGTGTTAAATTAGTTTTTGAGGTGGCAACACCTGATTCCATCCATCTGATGCAGCTCTCTATGCTTGTAAAATAATGAATGGATATTTAAATAAAATGCTTTATATTTTACTGAACTAATTTTATATCTGTAAGCCAATTCTAAATGTAAAGATTGTCTGCGTGAACCTGAACAGTTCCAACCTGGTCTTACTGTGAGACCGGGTTGACGCGTCACGCTTGTGCGTAATCATATCGGCACATTCTGAGCTGAAGAAGTGAGATTCTGGGATTCTCCTCAGACAGGCTCATGGATGTGTCGCCACATTGGAGACAGGAACAAGCGCTATTCAGCCAAAGTTTCATAATTAGGGAACATTTTCTAAGTGACAAGTCTCGCTTCAGTCGGAGGAATCTTCCTGCATGCGCTCTGGTTGTGCGACGTGCTCCAAGCCCCTCTCCACATCTTCAGCTCACTGTGCGCCGTACGCGCTGACAGCGAGCTGTGCTGAGCTCAGTGTCCAGCTCAGATGGGAATCATTTCTTGAGTGATTTAGCTACATCTGCGCGAAACGAATAAAGTGTCAGTTCGTCTGCATAGGTCGGGGTAATTCTTTCTCCGTCAAAATAAATAGTCAAATACGGGAACTATCCGGTCAACACAACACAAGCCCTGCTTTTAACTGTTCTGTTTTCTTGTGAAAATTGTTGCAAAAGAGATATAATTAAACTTGATTAACACCAGAGCCAGGCGCACTGCGCCGTTATCTCCGTCACTGTAAGTGAGGGAAAAACAAACTGATCGGATCCTTTTCTGACCTTCCCCACCTACAAAGTTTAATTACAACAATCAAACGTGACAGAGCCTGGATTTGTATTCTGAACAGTCTAAACATGTTTTAAAAAGAAACGTATGACAAAAGTGTCACCTGCTCAGTAAAACCACCAACAGGGTGAAAAATATCAAAATATTGTAGGCAGAGACGGGCTACAGCTTCTGGATCCATTTTATATAAATTGTTTTATTGATTATCTTCTTATGAAAGATAATTTTGACGTACATCAGCCGGTACCGGCCCCGCCCACAACGCCGCGGCTGCTGCAGTGTTTTCTTTACTGTGGGAAACGGGTAATAATGGCTCTTTGATGGGAACAGGTTGCCGACCTCTGTACTATAGTGAAGTTGACTAGTTCATACAGCCCCTGCTACTGCTCCCCAGAGTGTTCTGCAGCATAATCAGCATGTTCTCTTTGAACTTGATATCAAATTTTCGCCTCCTCTTTGTCTCGGCACGGTTAAAGTTACCCTCGCGGTCTTTCACTGGCAAATCAAAAGTGAGACGATGACACAACCCCCCCGTACTTGCTTGTTACCTTATTCCACCCGGCCACAATAAGAGACCAGCCACTATTCACCTCCGCCGACTCCGACACCGGCCAAAATTGGAGACCCGGCCTTTAATTGAATACCGGCCTGTATTAGAAGATTTACGGTAACACTCAAATCAACACATAGAAACTAGCAGACTGTTAGGAAACACATATAACACAACACCCAGAATGCACCTGGCTTACAACCCCAGCCAGGTCATTACACTCCCCCCCCCCCCCCCCCCCCCCCCCCCCAAGAGGTTTAGTGTCCCCACAACCTTAACCGTCCACTCTGTAGTCTTGTAGATATTCGGGCCGGCGTCGAGTACGCTTTGGCCTTGACTGGGGATCCATGGCGCCCCCAGCTGAGTCGGGCGTAGGAAGCAAGGAATCCCCAGGCTGCCCACCAGTCAGCGGGCTCGGGGCAAGCGGATGGCATGGCGCCAGCTGATCCTTATGCAGCACCACCCGCCTTCCTCGCCCCAGCATCCGGACTCGGAAAACCACCTCTGATAGCTGTTCCAGGATCTCGGCCGGGCCTTGCCAGTGACTCATGAGCTTGGGGGTCAGCCCCCGCTTCCGCCGGGGGCAGTACACCCAGACCTGATCTCCGGCCCCCAGCATAGGACCGTGTGCACGGGTATCGTACGCTCATTTCTGGCGGGCCCCGGCCCCCTCCAATGTCTGTCTCACCAGCTGATGCACCGTGTGCAACCGCTCCTTGAGCTGCCGCAAGTAATCCATCTCTGGTCCCCCAGCAATTTCCGGCTCAGGGGGCGCCCCGAACACCAAATCCACTGGAGTTCGGATCTCCCTTCCGAATATTAAGGCTGCAGGGGTACACTTACTTGACTCCTGCACTGCAGTTCGATACGTCCACAAAACAAGGGGCAGGTGTTGGTCCCAGTCCCTCTGATGCTGGCTGGTCAGGATGGCCAGCTGGGTGGCCAACGTGCGGTTGAACCGCTCAACCAGACCATCACTTTGAGGATGAAGGGGGGTGGTCCTCGTTTTTTTTACCCCCAGCCTCCGACACACTTCTCCCAGCACTTGGCTCTCAAAATTCCTCCCTTGGTCGCTATGGAGCTCCTCCGGTACACCAAACCGCATGAACATCTCATCCACCAGAGTATGCGCAGTCGTCACCGCACTCTGATCCGGCACCGCATACGCCTCTGGCCACTTCGAGAAATAATCCATCGCGACCAGGACGTACCGGTTGCCGGCATCAGTAGCAGGGAACGGACCCAGGATGTCCACTCCGATCCGCTCCATTGGCGCCCCAACTAGGTATTGCTGCAATGGGGCATGGGAGCGCTGGCTGGGACCTTTCTGCGCTGTGCAGTCGTCACAGCAGTGAACATGGATCTCCACGTCCTGACGACAGCCCGGCCAATAGAACCGCTGTCTCAACCGCTGCACCGTCTTCCCATTCCCAAAATGGCCAGTACCTGCAGCCCCGTGTACCCAGCGGAGGACCTCAGGCCGCAAGGCCCAGGGAACCAAGAGCTGGAGTCTGTCGCCTCCCCCGTCTGGCGCTCGCCACCGCCGGTAAAGTACACTGCCATGGAGCTCCAGGTTGTTCCACTGGGAGAACAGCGACTTCATCTCGGGCCCCTGGGAAGACACGGCGGACCAGTCTGGCCGTGTCCCAGCCTCCATCCAGTCCCTCACCATTCCCAGCACTGGATCGCTCACCTGGTGCTGCTGCAGCTCCGCCGCGGTGAAAGGTTCCCGTCCTTCACCCTTGCCCTCGGGTTCTGCTGCTGCTGATGTGGGACCCCGGTCCAACTCCTCCAGGCGCCTGCAGTACCGACACTCCTCCGCAGAACAGGGGCGCTTGGACAGGGCTTTGGCGTGTTGCCGCCCTGGTCGGTGCTGGGCCTCAAAATCGAACTCTTGTAGTATTTCCAGCCACCGGGCCACCTGACCCTCTGGCTGGCGAAAGTTCAGCATCCAGGTTAGGCTGGCGTGGTCGGTCCTGAGCAGGAACTTAGTGCCCAAGAGGTAAGGTCGGAAGTGACAAACCGCCAGGACCACAGCCAACAGCTCACGCCGGGTAACACAGTAATTCCTCTCGGCCCGGCTGAGACTGCAGCTGTAGTATGCCACTACTCGCTCCTCCGCCTCTCCCCCTTGGGAGAGCACAGTTCCGACCCCCACATTGCTGGCATCGGTGTCCAGCAGGAAAGGCTAGCTGGGGT